AGCAATAGAGGAAATGGATTACCTGGACTATATTAATGATGATGAAAGAGCTCAATTTAGACCAGACAGAAGGGTGGTTATGGACAGGAGCAACCCACTGAATGATCTTGATGAAATCAACTTTCGTGATCGTTTTCGCATGTACAAAGCAACTGCAGCAGACATAATTAGTCTGCTTTGACACAAGGCTTTCATCTGATTCCTGTAGGGGAATGCCTATCCCTCCTTCGCTAAAAGTACTGATCACCTTAAGGTTTTTGGCATGTGGAACCTTCCATCGTGAAACAGGCGATTTGTGTGGCGTAAGTGAACCAACTGTGTGCAAAATAGTTCACAAAGTGTGCAAAGCAATATGTGAACTGAAGGACGACTACATCAAGTTTCCTGATGCTGCTGGCCAAGCCAACTACAAGGTGGAGTTCTTTGAATATGGAAACTTCCCTGGAGTCATTGCCTGTATTGATGGATGTCATATTCCAAGAAAGTGTCCCTCTACTGCAGATTCTGAGGAGTACAGAAATCGTAAAAACTGGTTCTCAATAAATGTACAAGGTGTGTGCACTCCCACTATGCAGTTCTCCAACATTGTTGCACGTTGGAAAGGTGCAACTCATGACTCAAGAATTTTCCAGAACTCCTGTCTGTCCGCTCAGTTTGAAGGTGGTCAACATAGTGGAATCATACTTGGTGACAGTGGCTATGCACAGACCAACTTCTTGTTCACCCCTTACCTTCATGCAGTCACACCTGAGCAGCAGCGGTACAACCAAAGCTCATATCCGTACCAGAGGTACAGTGGAGCACATGTTTGGTGTACGGAAGAGTCGTTTCCAGAGATGCTTTTGCTTTGCGGCACTTCTCACAATGAAGTTACCTCAGATGATTGAAGACAACAGTTGCCACAGATTGATTATGAACAAAAGTTTTATTTCACAAATTGAGATATCGGGACCCTGAACTGGTGCTGGTTTCATTAGAACATTGGTACTACTGCTGCTTCATGTTTCTCTCTTCCTCCTTCATGGCTAACTCAACATGAAGTATTTTCATCTTTATTTCATGTTCATCTTTTAAATACTTAAATGCTCATGGAATTCCATGGCCAGTTTCTCGTGCATGGTCAGCCTCTTGGTCCTTCTCATCTGGCCAGAATTAGTGACATCATCTTCCCTCCAGGCTGCTGCAGCTGTAGTGGGCTGACCGTCATCCTGTCTCAGGACCTCCAAGCTCTGGTGATCATCTGAAAAGTATTATATTGCAGCATTAGTGAACAATATGTATTTAAAAGTGAAGTTCATGAAATAATTCTGGTTATAGGACTGCAAAAAATGACTGACATTAATGTGGCCTACCAAATGAGGATTGGAACGGGGCCCCATCTGAAGTGTCCAAACGATCATCATCAGGGATACCTTCCAGGGGCTGCTGGCTATCAACGATCAAAGTCAACAAGTCTCTAGGTCATCGGTCTCTGGTCTTTCTGGGGGTCCACCACCAGTCTTGAAACGCTCCCTACGTGCAACAGCATTTGTCTTCTTTAAGTTCATTTTTATGTTTTTCCACAGGATCTTAGAAAGATGGAACAATATAAAAAATAAAATTCTGTATGATGCTGTTTGTAATATACTTGGATCACAATGAAGCAACATTTCAAAGTGACTGACATGTAAAAGTAGACCAACAATAACACAGTAGCTTACCTGAAGTTGTTGAAGTGTCCTGTTGCTTACTTTTTCATTCGCGTTAAATTCATTGCAAACTGAAGTCTAAGCATTCTTTTTCTTGTTTTCTGTTGCTGAATCATGCTGTTTGTTCTCAATAATTGGGTGGTTTGACACAATTTGCTTCAAAAGGGTCCTTTCAAAGTCACTGAAATTCTTTGAACGTTGTCTTTTACCTTTGTCCATTGTTTGTTTGGGTGATTTACTCCAGTTCCACACAATGTTAATGTTTCTTCAGGGTCCAGCCCTGGTTTTTGGAGCAACCTCAGGTCTGCACTGAGTGCACAACATTACTCTAATCGGGCTTCACAGAGAGTTGCTAGTTAGTCCTTATTAACCTTAGTCTGCAACTCCCTAGTCGTGTACTACTTAATCTCAAATAAAGCAATGTCTCGGAAAGCCATTTTTTAAGTCCGTATTAATTTCAGTAAGTACAAGTACAACTATTTCAACTATTGGGTGGATGCAAGGAATTCCTGGAGTCTTGTCGTCAACATGAGGCTGCCAGGCAACCCAGGTTGCAAACGGGATGTAGGGGCGGTTTCCCAGACAGAGATTAAGCCTAGTCCCAGACTAAAATGGAAAGTTAAGCCGGACTAACTGGAATTGGATTTCTCAGACATGGTTTAAAATAGTCCCAGACTTCCCTAGTCCTGAATTACAAAGTCTGATTTCCAGAAGTCTGATTAGAACTAGTCTAGATTTAAGTAAAGGCTTAAACTAAACCTGGCCAGAGGCAGGTTTAACTTCAGATTAATTGATGTTGGCCTCCAGACTGACCTTAGCAATAGAGGAAATGGATTACCTGGACTATATTAATGATGATGAAAGAGCTCAATTTAGACCAGACAGAAGGGTGGTTATGGACAGGAGCAACCCACTGAATGATCTTGATGAAATCAACTTTCGTGATCGTTTTCGCATGTACAAAGCAACTGCAGCAGACATAATTAGTCTGCTTTGACACAAGGCTTTCATCTGATTCCTGTAGGGGAATGCCTATCCCTCCTTCGCTAAAAGTACTGATCACCTTAAGGTTTTTGGCATGTGGAACCTTCCATCGTGAAACAGGCGATTTGTGTGGCGTAAGTGAACCAACTGTGTGCAAAATAGTTCACAAAGTGTGCAAAGCAATATGTGAACTGAAGGACGACTACATCAAGTTTCCTGATGCTGCTGGCCAAGCCAACTACAAGGTGGAGTTCTTTGAATATGGAAACTTCCCTGGAGTCATTGCCTGTATTGATGGATGTCATATTCCAAGAAAGTGTCCCTCTACTGCAGATTCTGAGGAGTACAGAAATCGTAAAAACTGGTTCTCAATAAATGTACAAGGTGTGTGCACTCCCACTATGCAGTTCTCCAACATTGTTGCACGTTGGAAAGGTGCAACTCATGACTCAAGAATTTTCCAGAACTCCTGTCTGTCCGCTCAGTTTGAAGGTGGTCAACATAGTGGAATCATACTTGGTGACAGTGGCTATGCACAGACCAACTTCTTGTTCACCCCTTACCTTCATGCAGTCACACCTGAGCAGCAGCGGTACAACCAAAGCTCATATCCGTACCAGAGGTACAGTGGAGCACATGTTTGGTGTACGGAAGAGTCGTTTCCAGAGATGCTTTTGCTTTGCGGCACTTCTCACAATGAAGTTACCTCAGATGATTGAAGACAACAGTTGCCACAGATTGATTATGAACAAAAGTTTTATTTCACAAATTGAGATATCGGGACCCTGAACTGGTGCTGGTTTCATTAGAACATTGGTACTACTGCTGCTTCATGTTTCTCTCTTCCTCCTTCATGGCTAACTCAACATGAAGTATTTTCATCTTTATTTCATGTTCATCTTTTAAATACTTAAATGCTCATGGAATTCCATGGCCAGTTTCTCGTGCATGGTCAGCCTCTTGGTCCTTCTCATCTGGCCAGAATTAGTGACATCATCTTCCCTCCAGGCTGCTGCAGCTGTAGTGGGCTGACCGTCATCCTGTCTCAGGACCTCCAAGCTCTGGTGATCATCTGAAAAGTATTATATTGCAGCATTAGTGAACAATATGTATTTAAAAGTGAAGTTCATGAAATAATTCTGGTTATAGGACTGCAAAAAATGACTGACATTAATGTGGCCTACCAAATGAGGATTGGAACGGGGCCCCATCTGAAGTGTCCAAACGATCATCATCAGGGATACCTTCCAGGGGCTGCTGGCTATCAACGATCAAAGTCAACAAGTCTCTAGGTCATCGGTCTCTGGTCTTTCTGGGGGTCCACCACCAGTCTTGAAACGCTCCCTACGTGCAACAGCATTTGTCTTCTTTAAGTTCATTTTTATGTTTTTCCACAGGATCTTAGAAAGATGGAACAATATAAAAAATAAAATTCTGTATGATGCTGTTTGTAATATACTTGGATCACAATGAAGCAACATTTCAAAGTGACTGACATGTAAAAGTAGACCAACAATAACACAGTAGCTTACCTGAAGTTGTTGAAGTGTCCTGTTGCTTACTTTTTCATTCGCGTTAAATTCATTGCAAACTGAAGTCTAAGCATTCTTTTTCTTGTTTTCTGTTGCTGAATCATGCTGTTTGTTCTCAATAATTGGGTGGTTTGACACAATTTGCTTCAAAAGGGTCCTTTCAAAGTCACTGAAATTCTTTGAACGTTGTCTTTTACCTTTGTCCATTGTTTGTTTGGGTGATTTACTCCAGTTCCACACAATGTTAATGTTTCTTCAGGGTCCAGCCCTGGTTTTTGGAGCAACCTCAGGTCTGCACTGAGTGCACAACATTACTCTAATCGGGCTTCACAGAGAGTTGCTAGTTAGTCCTTATTAACCTTAGTCTGCAACTCCCTAGTCGTGTACTACTTAATCTCAAATAAAGCAATGTCTCGGAAAGCCATTTTTTAAGTCCGTATTAATTTCAGTAGGATTAGCCTAGTCCTCATTTATTTAAGACTCTGTCCGGGAAACCGCCCCCTAGTGTACTAATTTGTGAGCTCTAGAGGTGCTGGCCAACTGTTTGTCCTTGTTTTCAGTCTTTATGCTAAGCTAAGCTAACTGCCTGCTGGCTGTAGCTTCATATTTAACAGACATACGATCTTCTCATTGAACAAGTGGATTTCTCAAAATGTCACACACTGTTTTATGTCTGTTTTTGATGCAAAGATGTGCTTATTCAAATGTTTAATTTTATTAATGCATTAATCCATTTAGGATTTCAGGAATAGTGTGCAGCATGAATGGAAATCACCTTTTTCTTTTTCTTTCCAAGGTTACAGAATGAGGACCACACAACAGAGGCTGACGACGATACCCTTTCCCCTTTAAAAGAGTGCTCATCGTACAACTACGCTGCCGGCGTCAGGACTGGTTGTGATCTACAGGCAGATATCAAGCACGCCATCCACATCTTGTTTAACGGAACGCAGAAAAACATGACTGTCAGGAACACCTTCAGGAGAGTTCTCTTACAAAATGGTACGCAGCAAGTGGGCAGTGTTCAGAGTTCTGTTGAAATACGCGCTTCCCTATTAAGTTTCAGAGTTGTAAGAGAAGTTGCCCTCTGCTCTTTCTCAGAAATGATTTACCAGTTATTGCGGTGTGGAGATGTACTATAGATGTACTTCTGGGGTGTGACACCATCCGAAACGTACAACTAGAAAACACAATGCAGCCATTTTAACAAAACAAAAATTCATGCTTGTCTTATTTTTAAGAGACTTTAGTAAGTATTTTAGTTTAAAGTATTTTCTGACTGTGTATGAATGGATGGTTACTGTCTCTCTGTAATGTCTGTCTCTTACAGTGAGACCTTCTGCCCTTCAGTGGAACGTCACTAAAAATGGGAGTCAGTTGAATATCAGCTGGATTTCTCCTGACATCATAGATCTGTCTCAATGGAGGTTTATAATTAATTACACTGAGTGTGATCAAATAAAGGTAACAGACACAACAGTGCAATATTTATTATGTTTGTCTCTAATGTCTTTAAATTGAAGCTCTGTCTTGTTTTGTCTTTTAATTTAATAGAATAACTCAGTGGATGCAAATGATTGCTGTGATCATTTGAATCTTGGAAGCAACTGAATACCTGATTGTAAAATTTAACAACAACCTAGTACTTGAAATTTAAACATCACTGAGGTTGTAGCATGATAGCAGAAATATTTTACTTTGAAAACCATCTATACAAGTTTGTGGTTTGTGATTTGCCTAAGAAACATGCCAGCATTTCCTTCCTCCTTAAAACATCTGCAAAGATGATTGTTTTGATATTTTACATCCTGCTTTGTTTATATCCATGTGTGATAGCTTGCAGTCTTCCTCTTTCTTGCTTTTGTTGGTGCACTGCTGTTTCTAATGTCTGCTTAAGCTGTAGTTTTCTATCCTCATCTGTGAACCTTTAAAAAAAAAAAATCTTAAATCAACTTCTTGAAATTACCTGAAAAGGGGTGAAAACTACATAAATCAAAATACATAAAATAATTTTTATGGTTGTCAGAGTAATATACATATTTCAGTGCTTTATGTTGAATTCACAATAAGGTGTGCAGCTGTTTCTAATGTTCTTAATAGTTGGCTGTAGTTTTCTTCCACAGAATTTTCTTTATTGCGCTGAAACAATGAATCAACTAATTGATTAATCGCTGTCACAATTGTGCCTCCATTTTCTCACAGGTTAAAACTGTAGATGGCGATTTATCAATTCAAGTCAAACTGGTCTCTCACTGTCGGTACCGCATGGCTATTAAAGCACAGACCACGGGAGCGATACAGGCAGAGACACCATGGAGTGACGAGAAGTATTTTGGTATGCTCTATTTTCTGAAAATTACTTACTTTGTCATGTAGTAGTTGTTTTAAGAATGACACCGGCAGACAGAAATGCATTCTACTTTCAAAAGTTGACACTGTTTTTTTCTTTCTTTGTAAAAACTCTGGGGTTTCAATTGTAACTTGAAACATTAAACACTTAACCTGTACACATCACTTTCAGCTAATCATAATGTTGCTGATGTTTTTGTATGCAGATGCAGATACAGATCCCAATGCGTTGGTGTATGCTGCTGCCATTATCATCCCACTGATGTTTGCTGGCTTGGCGGCCCTGACTTTTATGTGTTGCAGGAAGTATGTAGAGTTTTAATTAGGGATGCACCAAATGTTCGGCAACCAAATTAATCTTCCAAAACAATCGTCCTTCGGTGTTCGGCCTACTAAGTCAAAAGACTGAATACATTTTACTGAACAATTACGTTGACATGTCGGCAGTGTGGAAGCTTTTTAAAGTGTCCGAGAAAGACGCAAAAATCGCCGTTTGCAGACACAGTTCTGCTGAATTGTCTCCCAGCACATCCACTCCATCTGTGGCTGACTTCTTTGAAAAGGCAACAACCGCTTTGAGTGTTTCTGTCACTCATTTGTGAGAAGGCGATTAAGCTAGCAGCACCTAAATTTGGAGTGCACACGTATTAAAGCCTTTATGGTAAATCCACTGAAACTGACCAGTGCGAGCTGACAGGCAGGTTAGAGACTTTCTCCTGTCAGTTTCTCTCTTTACAAAGACAAGTGTTGCAGTATGAGAGTCCTACCTGAAGAGAGGCTGTGAAGTCTTCATGTTACGCCATACGAGAACCACATACAACATTATTTATCAAATTGAGTCAGGCTTGATGAATTTAGCGCGAGGATACACATGTGACAACGTCCGGTTTTCAAAATAAGGTGTCTATACAGTATTTTGACTATTTCGGTGTTCAGGGAAGTTTTTCATCATATTCGGCTTCGGCCAAGACTTTCCATTTTGGTGCGTCCCTAGTTGTAATCTTTTTGTTTGGGTGCCATTGATTTGAGTTGTCTTCTTGTTTGCATCTGATATTTAACTCTCTCTGCACAGGAATAAGGAGAAGATTTTCCCCAAAGTACCAGAACCTCGGGACCTTATCAGCGATATTTCTGACAACAACAATAAGGTGACTGCTTACAAAAGTATAGTCTTGGTTTACGCTCTGATTGTTCTGTCTCCTTAAATTAAAGAAATAGTACATGATGACATTTTTGGATGTACACTTATTCGCCGTCTTGCCCAGACTTAGGGGGGAAGGTCGGAACCTCTCTCATGTCTGTACGGTAAACATGAAGTTACTTACACACCATAAGTTAAGTATCATACATAAAATCTTAAGTGTAAAAATGCACATTGTGGTTTTGTGCAGAGCACAGTCACAACAAGATTCCAGGAAGACACTGCACCAGGCCAAGAAAAAGTCCAGCACATAACGCCCCTTAAATATCACAAAGTGTAACTTTTTCACTTTGCTTTCTTGTATGTACTGAACAAACAAGATAAAGTGCTAATTAGTGAGCTTTAGGGGTGCTGGTGAAACATATTTTGTTACCTTTGGACTGAGTCAGGCTAGTTGTTTCCCCTCGATTACTCATCTGTGTGCCAAGCTAAGCTAACGCTGGCGATCGTCTCATTATTTAGGGTGCAAGTGTATCAGTTTTCTTAGCCCCAAATGACCTAACCATCACTATAACAACAGCAGATAAAGGCAGTGAGAGAAAAAATGGGCGGGACAGAGCAACAAAAGCACCTGATAAATATAAAGGTGTCCACCACTAAAATTCAGCTTTAAAACTTATCTTCTCCAGACCTCTAAAGCCCATGATCGCACAGTTGTTTTCATTTACAGAAGAATTATTTTGTTTTTTTAAATGCGCCACTGTGTTTGGTTTACTTTCACACATTTTTATTCTCATCTTCTTCTTTTCCTCAGAGCAACGTTTGCAACCTGTACATCCCTGCAGTGGAAGAAGACAACTGTAAAATCACTCTTGTGATAGATCCCCATAGTAATCTTATCTGAAAGCACCGAGTCTCCCAAAGTCTTGTTGTACTGGCTCACCAAGAACTCGAGAGGCTTTCATCACGGTCTAACTCATGAACCCACGAGCTTCCTGGGCAGCTACTGCATTTCTGCACGTTGTTTTTCAAATACTGATGCAGATGAAATCCTTCATGAGGCTGCTATTTAGACTGGTAGTGCAGAAGCGTGTTACACTGAAGGACATGGGACTGAAGCCCCAAATATGCCGCAACATCGAGCTGAATTCACATCAATAATCTAGAAACATTGGAAAATTCCTTATCGCCATGTGTTGTTTACACACCACCAGCAGCTCCTATTTTGGAAATGTAATCACTTTGTTAGACTTTTTTTTTTTTTTTTTACTGTTTTCTGTCCTGAATGAACGCAAACAAATACATCCATTACTCTACACGCCCCAACATTTTATATCTGAGCTGTAAGTCTTGCATTGCACCAAGTAGCCCCACAGTGTCACTACTTCAGGAACTAGTTTTTGGGAGACCCCTTGGACACATGCTGTAACCCCAGCAGCCAAGGATCAGTGGAAATGGGCAACCCTGGAGAGTTCAGTAATGCAGACAGACGAGAGAACGGTTTAATCTGGATCTACTAATCCGTAGATCTGCAGTTTGATCCCCGGTTCCTCAAGTGTGCACGTCCAAGTGCCTCGGGCAAGATACTGAACCCCGGGAACAATTCATTTCTTTGTCTGATGAGCAGCTGGCTACCTTCAGTAGTCAGTGTGTGAATGTGACATGTAGTGTTATGTTTTTTGATAATCACAGCTTTTTTTTCAGCATTTACTAAGCATTAAATGCATATATCTATATAGATATATATATAGAGAGAGAGAGATAGAGATAGAGATAGAGATATATATATAAATATTAGAGACATATAGAGAGAGATATGGGACAAAGCAACTTAATCAAAAAAAATCATTAGTTGTCTGTCTGTCACCTGTAGATTAGTGTGTTTACTCATTTACTGTCCTGTTTTCTCTTGATCAATGAGAATTCCTCGTGTCAAACAATCTATTAAAGGAAAAATAAAATTAAAATAAACTGCATGCAACCGGCATTAAGTTACAGCCAGACCGTCTGTGCAGTCTGCTGTACACAGAAGACATTTATTGACTTGTGTCTGAAGAACAGGGTGCTGATCATACAGGATTTAATGAATGTGTCCTCTGCTGCTATGCTAATGTTAAAAGACACCATCTGAAGTTCTACTCCGCCTTGCTGTACTTGGAAGTATCTCAGCTGGTCTGTGGTGGTCGCATAGCCTCTTGTTATCTTGCTGGGCAACTCAGTGGTTTGCTGGTCAGCTAGCATAAATACATTGAGCGTTATACCACGGTCTGCTTACGGTGGTTTAGCTGCTTTGTTTTCAGTAGAGGAAACAAACGCCGCTTGTGCTCTGCGCCAAAATGGTTTATTTTGGTGACCAGATGAGAGGAAAGCGAACGGATGCTGATCTTGTCTGGTCTGCCATCATCGGTTTCCTCCTTGACCACGATCAGACCACTTCTGTCCCAGCTCAGCAGTGCCAACCACATTCTAAAAAGTTAGCAAACATGCTGAACTTAAAGACATTTAAAACATAAATACCATAGTTAGGACATAATGGGCAGGATAGCAAAAAGCCTGAGTTATGGTTTAACATCTCCAATGATTGCCTTTATTTATGTGTTTGGAACATCACGAGAAGGGTAAAACATTTGCTCTTTCAACAACACAAAGAAATACAGTTATACTGAATGTACATGGATTAGGCTTCTGATAAGCTCAGACTTTATTGCGATGGATATAATGAAGTTCTCCCTTCCCCTCTTCTGTTGAGGACTGTGAATATGAAAAGAATGAAGCACTCATGTAAAAATGCTAGTGTATCAATATTGGTGCTATGCAGTTTGAGATGAATATTTTGATGATGTGCCCATGTTGGTGGGTGCAAACTTTTGGATGGTTCATAAATTATGTTATGCTCATGTTATACAATGTTTTTCAATAAACAGTTTAAGTTGCCATGTCTGCACAAACAAATAGTGGCACGTGTGAGTTTTTAATGTCACATTTTAAATACGTAGTGCTGCTGATGTAAAGGGACAGCTGGACATTTTAGAAAAAGTACTCTTTCTTGCCCAGAGTTAGATGATAAGATTGACTCCATTCTAAGGTAACCCATGTAGCTGGAACAAGCAGCCCATTAACTTAGTTTAGCATAAAGACTGGAAGTAAAACTCAACCTGCCAGCGCCAATAGAGCTTGCTAATTAACATACTATATACATATTATATTTCATTTGTTTTATCCATACAAACATAAAGTTGGCTTTTTAATGGGGGGTTAAGTATCTGACTATTTCTTTACCTCACATTACAACGAACACGTTATACTGTATCTCCTTATTTTAAAAAACTAAAGTGGAAGATCAGATTGTGGTTTTCTGGGGGTCATGTGCTTTCTTGAGAGTCTAAGCATAGTTGTCCTGCAGCTGCCAAGAAATACTCTGGCATTGCCCCCACAAAACCACAATATGAAACTTTTTTTTTTTTTTTTTTTACAGTAAGCAAATGAGATGTGTTTTTGTTGAGCCAGGCTAGCTGTTTCTTCTTCAAAGAAGCTAACTGTCTGCTGGATCATGAGATTGTGTGTTTCCCAAGATGTTAAACTATTAAATACAGTCTTCAGGGTTTTGACCATGGAAAACATCTGTAAAATCTGCAATGGAGACTGTGTTTTTTAGTCAGCTGTCATGAGAAGTTGAGACAATATATCATACTTTCATGATAGTTGAGTATTCCCTGTTTACAAGCTTTAGCGGATAAATGTAGTTTTTGTCAAATAATCAAAAAATCACAAAACCTTTCCTGAAAAACAAAACACAAATATAATTAGAGATTATTGACCAAAGGGCCCGGCTGATTGATAATTAGGGTATTTATATTATCAGGACCTACTGCATGATAAGAATTTCAAAATATATGACCTGACTTACAAGTTATGCAACATCCATTTTCGCGAGTCTTTTGTGTCAGTTTCTTGGATCCTCTGGTAAACAACTGTTTATCACCTGTGTCAGTCTGTGAATTTAGTGTACTAAAGGCAATTTATGAATGGAGAATAAAATTGGGCCTAACGCAGAACCATCACCTTGCAGAGCATCTTTCGGCAAGTAGACCTGATGTTGTTCAAATCATCAAATCTCCAGTTTTTCACAAATGTGAAGAAATAAACACTGGCAGATGATTTTCCCCTGTTTGCTGCTAGGAGGAAATGATTAATTACTCCACGGAGAAGTTTCACTTCTCAATTTCCGAAACAGTGAGAAACTTGCAGAGAACAAGTGTTTCCTCAGTAATTTCAGCCACTAGGAGGAAGTTGTGAAATTGCGTTTAAAATTGCTAAATTTTGTGGGTTTTGGGGCTTTTTCAAGAGCAAAAGAACAAATGCATACTGCCTACTCCTAACATTAGAGTAATATAAAACTTACTTAGGCCTAAGAGCCCATGTTGTCTGTCAGTGTTTCAATGTGGGCTATAACTCCAAAAATGGTCATAATCAGTTCAAGTCTTCATGGTTAGATTCTAAGCTTATAAAGGCTTGTGTCTACGATTGTGTAAATATAGGCTACTATCCAAAAATACTAGAATCTAAACAGTCAGTTTCCTTGAGGGTGGATTTTGTGAAATACCATGAAAAGCTTAGTATGTCATAGTGGCTACCATGCCTCCATGAACGCAGCTGCAAACATGCTCTAATTAGGTGTCCTTGACATGAAAAATGCGGCCAGCAAAGACATCGGAGATGAAAGTAATTAAGTTGCCACACTGTGGCGAAGGGCATGTGGAAGGAGGCCCATAATTGGTTATCTGATGCAATCTCGGTGTAACCCCACCACCCCACTAGCCTACTCCATGCAGTGGGACCTGTGCACTGTTTCCTTAAAGGACAAAGGAAAAACGATGAGTCCAAGGCTATGCAGAGTAAAAATGACCACAATGAGTCGGTTTTCCATTAATAAAACACGTTTTCACTAGGCATTTTGAAATAGGGACATCAAGCCCCATCCGCTGTGAACGGTAATCCATTGTTAATCAGAAACACGTTATTTCTCTGTCAAATGGTTCAAAATGGATGTAGCTTAATTCGTTAACCACCGCATTTTAGCGGCACTAGCTACCTTAAACATAGCCTCTTTCGCTTTTATTTTTAAATCCGTCAAAACAGCGATAAATATAGTATTTCAATGTGAAAACGGGGAACGCAACGCTCCGACAGGTACCATTTTGGCTCTGCGGATGCTGTTTGAGCGAGGAGCGTTAAGCTAACTTGAATAAAACAAGCTTCCTGGCGGCGCACTTTCAAAATTAAAGCCTGAGTTTGGACGAGCTATCGACAGTCACGGTGACTCTTATTTTTGTATACTCGAACTGTGGACTTCCTGTGGTATGCCAGCAAACCTAACGCATCTCTGAGGGACCGTCCGCCTCAGTGTGTAGCAACGGCGCCCTCTGGTGGTCAGTCCGGACAGAGCCAAAATGGCTCAGACTGGTCCTGATGCTGCGGGGATGCAGAGAGCAGCGATATGAGAGGATATAAAGTACGTAAACCGTGCCAGGCCCGGTTTATCCTGGCGCAGTCTCTGTGGCGCAATGGAATAGCGCGCTGGACTTCTAATCCAGAGGCTCCGGGTTCGAGTCCCGGCAGAGATGAGTCACTCTGTGTGCCACACGGCAGACCTGCGGTCATTTTTATCACACTGTGATGGTGTTTTCGTTGCAGATTATTATGATGTAATGGTTGATCCTCGTTGTCCGCGCACTAATGTGGGTATAGTGAGTAAAATTAAACACTGCCCCATCACTGTTCGTTTTGCAGGCTTTGAGTAATTTGTTCTTCTCTGGTAAATAAACATAGGCTATGATGAATATTATAGCCCATATAGCATAGATCCATATTGAATTAAGTTCACCCATATGATTCTGCTTGTTCTGTAGGCTCTTTACATTTTCTCTTTATTTTTTTTGGGCTTCATTTTACTTTACTTAAAATCCTGGTATGTTTTATTTTAATTCTGCCTTTTGAGTTCCCATTGATTTCCTATTGATGCCATATGCATTAATAGCTCTTACTAGTATCTGGTTGCTCGTAGATCTTATTTTACTGATGCTTGTATGTTGTTCCTCAAATGTAAATGGATTGGATAAAAGTGTCTGCCAGATGAGTATGTAAATGCAAATGTGAGCTAGAGCTCTTCTGAAAAAACTTAAAACTTAGATTTTAACAGGAGTAACATGAGTAATGAACAGCTAAAATACTTCTGCACGTAACGTTTTGTACAAAAAAACATACATGTGACATGTGGCAAATGCATCCTCAGTAGTCTACGGCCATAATTACAATAATAGTAGTCCTGTTGACATTGAATTTAATGAACACATGTTATCACACATTACTTGTATTCTCCCGTATAGGTTTTAGTTAGACAGTGAACGCGGATGTAAACCATATATTTTTTAAATAAATATCAGGTTAGAATGGTTCACATCTCTCACCAGGATTACATCTGACTCCCGCCAACAACAGTGCCAGTCAAACGTGTGCGTGCGTCTGTGCGTGCATGCGAGCGCGGATATTTTGGGATCCTTGCTCCAGTTGTTCTCGGGGCACATGCAGGGGTCGTCCTGGGTCGAGACGCAAGGGGGCGCTCGTCTCACTTCAACCCTGCTCTGGAGCGGGAGGAACCGGCTCTCCGTGCAGACCCACCGAGATGCGCCAGGAACAGTATCATTGGGAACCATCACCAAAATCTGTAGCCTACATTATGTGACAGGAAGGAGGACATGGTCTGTTCAGTCATCATCTGTTCGGGCTATTTCATCATGGTGACATCACTGCTTTATCCCGCTAAAACAGCCAATACTGTATGTATGTGAATATTCCCACAGTGTTGCTTCCTATGACTTACAGTATTACTGATACTACACAATATTAAGGATCTAGTGCTTTTATTGAACCTAAAAGCTCAGTGTGACATAACATTTCTTTGCCTTTTGTACAGTATCATTACAGTTACCTATATTACTGTAGGTTCTTATCTGTTAAATTCAAATGAATGTGCTGATGTGTTCAACAACAATGTTCCATCCTGATATATGCTTTTATAGGTATTTCTATGATATTCGTGAAGGTGTTTATATTTAAGTGTGACATCTGAATCATCCTATTAATTATAAAATTAGCTGGATATACAGTGGAGCTAAGTTAAAGTATCCAAAATGATTTCATTACTTAATAATAGCACACTGTGGACAGCAGAAAGAAAGCAGACTACAGCAAACGTGTCAAAATGATTATGCTTCTCTAAGCTGGTTTATTTTTATTTTTAACATTTTTATTTTTTTTAGCGTATTTCATAAGGTTTTTTTTTTCTTTCTTTTTTTTTTTTTTGCCGGTGTTGGCTTGTGTAGATCCAGAGGAATAGAAAAAGGGGGCAGTGCTGTGGTGCTGCTGACGTGAGAGAGAGAGTGAGAGAGAGAGAGAGGAATGCCCCGCTAATGAGAATATGACGTCAAGTCAGAGAGATTACAGTGAGGACAACACCGGAAGTAGAGCGTGGTCACGTTGGGTGAACTTTTATTTAATTTCATTTTATTTGTCAGGGGATGTATCAAAAAAAGAGCACATCCCACCAGCTTTAAGAATGATCTTATTATTTCAAAAGAGGTTTTTGTCAATGTACCATCTGGCTTCCCTAATAAGTAGCCTAATCATTTATGTGTTGTGGTTGGTGGACATGGTATTTTCCCATTGTAAGTATTGCATATAAACATCCTTTTGGTGATCTCCAACACACTTTTTTTTTTGAAACATCACATTCTCTAAACCTAAATGTTACCAACAACAAATCCCAAAAAAGGCTCTGAAAGAGTTCTGCCAGAGGATTACACTAAAAGAATCCGTCTACACAGATGTCATTATTCTATTTTGAGAAAAATAGACAAAACAATTAACGTTTTAAAGCAAATAATTTATTGTAA